ATGGTATAGGCAACATTTAACTCTATTTTGTTCGATAATATTTATCAGGTAGAATGTAGATGACAGTGTAGGGAAATGGCTGATCACAAACATAACTGTAGAGTTTGTATATAGATTTCCAAACGTTTCCTGTTTTCTCTTTAAAATGATAAACATGCGAACCATGCTGTGTTCGTTGGCAATCATAATCGAGACTGCTGTATTTGACGCCAAATAGTCCGATACGAGGGTTAACGCAAAAAATTCAGTGCTCTTGTTAAAATTTTGTGGGATTCGACTTTGCTGTATTTCAATTAACTAAAAATATTTCCTACACAGTCTAAGGGGACTAAACTATAAATTAACATATTAACGCGCATGTCGGCAGGTCTCATACCAAAACTTACAGTTCAAATTAAGCGTTAGAAATTAGACTTATGGCACTTCAAAGTCACGTAACTTTGCTATTCCTCACGAAAGTATGAGATGTACCTGATATCAGGATTAGATACATTCAGAACCAGTACAGGGATTCGGTTCCAGTGATCCAAAATACGTACTGTAGTGGTCATTTGAAACGCATTCAAGGCATTTTAATTCTTAGTAACCATCTATACCATTGATTAGCGTATTTTATCTGAAGATATCCAATCCCATTCTGTATTTCGGCATCTAATAAGGCTTCTGAGATGTGCTAGAGTCATCTATAAGACTGTAGCAAAACTCAAAAATGAATTTATAAATCTACTTTAAGAAAAAAGTTAGAGCCTCCAATCCATTTCTGACCTCTCTGATGATCTCCAGGTGCAATGGGTTAACCAACTAAAAGGGCTATCAGAGATGCGCCAAAAAGGAAGTGAAGATCCTAGCAGCATCTATCAGATAGTAGCAGAACCAAACATTCCAAATCTCCATACTTCCTACGCCTGGTGGTAAAGAAGTATTGTAATCGCGAAAAATTGAGAAAATGAGATACGTTCTTTGATGATATACGTATATGATGTACATAACGAAACACTATCTCACTCATTTGTCTGTCTATTCGCTGATCCTTGGCCAGCCTATAACTTGGAAAACAATAATTCTCGCATTTGGATCAAATTTTAACACAAAGCTACTAATATGTCCTTGTACATTTACCCTCAACAGAAATATCAGCCGCAATTCGACACGTTGTGCATCGCAGTCGGCAGTCGATTCCGTGCTGCTGTGGGCTGTATGCTGTAAGCTCAGTATCAAGCTGGATTAGTAATAGCAAGAAACAGGTGCCCTCTTGAATTTTTCTCAGGGGGAGAAGCGTCTTTTATTTTTTCTTGTACATATTCGTAGATAATTTTTTTGTCAGAAGAGCTAACATAATCCGTTACGAACTGATGACAGCGTTGCGTGATAAGGACAGAGCCAACTTACTTTGCGCCATTTTTTTGAAAGCATATTTCTAAATGTATTTTTGTATTCTTCTCTTGCCTCGTAGATGGTTGGCTATCTATTGGCTATCGTATTACGAAACCATTCAGTTCAGCAATGCCCGGTTTTCGGAGTATTCTAATGCTGGCTCTTCTAATTTTTAAGAGAACGTATTATTAAAAACTCGAAAATCCCTTAGCATCTGGGATCTGTATCAAAAAACTTCTCTTAGATGAGTCCGGAGCAAACAATCTGAATTCGAATCTATCTGCTGGTTTTTACGAATGAAACCCACCTCAATTTGAGACGCTTTAAAATGTGTTCACGTTCAAATTTAGAGCCGTAACACCATTAAGCTGCTGCCTAGTCACTGAATAACGCGAATGGGTTCTTAGCACCTCAAAGCCGCATGGTTTTGCAATTTTCCACAAAAGATAATATCATGTACATGTTAAACGGTACCAGACCTTTTCAAAAACACTTAAGCCACATATGCATGCACTTGGACACTCTATTTCTCAACATCCACACCAACATAACAAAAAATCAGAAGTATATATTTGTAGCACAAAATTATAAAGCCTGGCCTATGACAGCAAATAATACTTTACTCGATTGTGAAAAGACACACGTGATGGCAACAGCAATAATCGTAAATGTTAAAAGATACAGCGTAAAGGACAGCGGCACTTCTTCCGCAGATATCCGGGTACTCTTAAGTCTCTCCAAGTGGCAAATTAAATATGCAGAGAGTAACGGTAAACACTTGACAGCGTCAACGACGTTACGGAGACTGCAAATCTTTGCATACCTATGTACAAAATCTACAAGAGATTTTTAATCATATAAACAGAAACAGGATGTGACTTCGCAAACAGAAAATGCGAGATTTAATATATAGTCTGGACAGAGTTGCAGTCTTTCCATTCAGGAGAAATCAATTGAAGATTTTTTGCCAACGTTACACAGCTGGCAGACTATGGTGTTAGAGTTACTTAATACCATGTTTGTTTCCGCTGGTAATCTCAAGATCTCTCAATGACTGTTCTTCTTTCTTTTCTTTCTTTTGTTTGGACATTAAATGTTTCCTTCTGATAAAGACTTACCCCTCGAGGCTAGGGTATTGACGGTGTCAATGTTTTCCCCACCGGTGATCGTCTACATTTTGTATCTTCTAGCTTTGAAAAGATCATGAATCAGTGTGACATGTCATGTCAACTGAAGCTTGGATTTTTTTGCTGTGTCGGAATCTGTGTTCTTGCCGTTAGTTTTACCCGTTACGTTTGAGCATTTCTATTTATCAATAATCTTTATATACAAGACCCGTTATAGGGTGTAAATAAGGTAAGCGGACAAACTGCAAGAGATGATTCCTTTGGTGCGTTCAAGTCAAAAAATTCATATAATCATAGGTCCAGAAATATATCGCTACCAAGATACTAGGCGTTGTAAATTTGTGTCACTGGCAATACTAATTAAGGACAAAACATAAATATTTATCAAATAACCCTGTGATGAGGTTGGATTACCAAGATACTAGGCGTTGTAAATTTGTGTCACTGGCAATACTAATTAAGGACAAAACATAAATATTTATCAAATAACCCTGTGATCAGGTTGGATTATCCTTCAGATGCCGTTTAGATGGCTCCAAATGACATTTCCCAAAGCTACAGGTTTAGATACTTGCAGATCTAAGGTCTCCGGGGCCGAACGCAAGAACTTTAGGACAGTGGAAGTTGGAGGTATGGGGGAGGGTGCAGGAATATCATAAACGTCAGAAGAAAACAAATTTGTCTACTATGGAGGGCTCTGGGATAGTATAGTCAAGATCACGCATAGAGCGACGTGTGCGTCATCTTACATCCGCTTCTGGGTCTAGACACACAATATTGGGAAAAGTTACTATTTTGACTGTACTATCAGACGAAGATTAGCGACGTCGGCCAAGCCTGTGCCTGTACCTCGTGACCGTACTCACTATTGTTGACAAGGCCTTGTGGGTGTTTTCGGCTTTCCAAGGACAGTATCTGGTCGTAAGGACAACAACCCCAACGATCTTTTTTGTCCTCTTTCTTCTGGCATATTAAAGCGTCTTGTTACATCAGAAATGTATACATATAACAAAAACTGACAAGACGTTTTGTTCATTTGAGGCGATGTAGAGATAAGCGTTTTTTATAGTGCATCGGTGTTAGTCAGTGTTTCAGCAACAAATTCTGTTAGAGGCATTCAGAAATTAAAAATGTCAGCTATCTGTTTTCATATCAAGCACACACCCTTTGCAAGGTTGATAATTATCGGGAGTATTTTAACCTTTAGAACCAGTTCCTATGAAAGTTTATTTTAAGCTGCTTCTAAACCATGCTCCTAAGTTTCGGAACTAGGACTTTCCTCTACCGCTACTCTCCAATTATGTTTAGATGCGATTGTATCTTGTTTGTCATAATTTCATTAGCATTTTGGGTGTTTCTAGTCACGAGGGTATCCCCAAAAATGACCTGTTATCCAGAAACACAACACTGCTGCTCAAAGACTTAGTTCTTTACAGAGTCATGATCAAAAAGGCAAAACAAGCTATGGGGCGTGAAGCCTTAATTGCTGGGAGTGGAATGGAAAATTGTTCCAAGATCTTGCAACTAAGGCATTAGATTTTCAGGACACTTTAGTACCAGCCTTGAATTTGTTTCGAAGATTGACAAAGAAGGCCAAAGTGGAAGATACTGTAGTACCATACAGCAAAAAGTCTTCTTTCTTTCATGTTATGATACTGATATGTGAATTCATTATATTTGTGAGTCTGAGTAACTTTTGTTTTCTTCATTATATCATAACGTTCAATATTTACAAAAAGTCTCAAGAGCATCTTGCAAGATTCGGCCATGAAGTCATCAATTCCAATTTTATTTTTAAATGTGACCAAACTGTTAATGGCACTACATTAATCAATCTTAATAAGCCGTCTAGTAAATATTCGCAGACCAGCCAGTGAAGTCACACCAGGCGCTATCGCGACGACCTTCCTTGATTTTTATAGCTACTTCTTGGACATATAGCGTTTAATACTGAAGACTAATAAAACTAACATAACATTAGGATTGGTGACCTGTTACTGTTTTTTAAACCATCCAGGTTCAATTCGAAATGAAGTCTCCCACAAATGAGAATCTGTAATATGCAAAACTTTCAACTAACCTCATTATTATAATCTACATTAAGTGAAAATAACCCGTTGTGTCTATTTTGGGCCATTGGTCCTACTTCTGAGCCAAATTCTGATTCGACGAATAAGAAAAATAGCTCTCAAGACAAGACCCTTCCCCCGTGGATCCGCCACTGGCTTAGTATGAGCATTGATTAACATTTTTTGCCTGAATATAGCCAACCTAATGCTAGATTTCCGAGTCCAAAATATCCAAGATAAGATGAGATACTGTAGCGTCATCTATGATAATTTGTCACAGTTGTTTCCCTTTTTACTATACCCACCTGTATGCTTGTACGAGTATATGCTCATATAGATAGCGCCAGCTATGACATACTAACCCTTTTAAAGTAAATAGAGAATTGTTTGGGATCATTTTTTTGGACGCGAGGATATCTCGTTTGGTTGGCATCTTCAGATAGAACACGTTAATCAATGGTAGGTATGAGGAATGTCGTAGACATTTTGACATTGTGCTAAGGCCTTTTATAGCTATGTGTCTAAACTTGTATTTTCTGTTGCAGATCGAGGAGGGTGACTCAGGGCAGGTGGAGGATCGCGGCGGTGGTCTCGCGAACAACCAACAACACCAACAGCAGCAGCAAGCAGTTGGGCCCCCGAAAAGGAGCGGCTCTTGCTACGCTGGTTTCGGAGCGGACAGTTTAAGCAACGACGTCACAGCAAACAACACAGCCATGACGGCCTCAGGCGGTGCGAACGGAGCCAACAATGATGTCACCACGGTCAGTATGTTGGTTAAATTGGGTTTTTGAGAAAAAGCTTCATTTTTTAAAAGTCCTTAACGAATATTACGATCCTTGGACTCGCGGTTTATAACGTCAATCATTATTATTGTAATATCTGAACACATCCTGTTGCTGTCATCCCGAAGATTATCCATATTTTCTCACCGCTCGAGCTTTTACTAACCTCGATCGCCTTTTTACATTAGATTTACCTACTACCATTGATTAACGTATTCCACATGTAGGTATATAGTCAGCTCAACGCTGTATTCCCGCATACAAAAAATTATCAGAGAAAAATCATATACGGTAGGGTCATCTATGAAAATCTCAAATAAGACAGCAAATGTGTCATCTATTACCAGAATCGACGACTGCGAAAGTAAAAACTGCAAGATGACTGTTTGAAGTGTATCCCAGTTTTCATGTCAGTTTAGTCACCACTATGGCCGCGAGATGCCACCGATGTGCTATAGTGGATACGATCTCATCGCACTCGTACTCGAACAAATAGTAATATACCTTCCGTTCGTCCGACCATATGCGACCTACCATGGACAGCTGTATCGTGCTATATGGCAACTCCTCGGCATGATGTAAGCTTAAGCTTGGTCTCGGTGGACAATGAGCGAAAGCTGAGCAACTCTATTCAAAGTATAAGGCTTATCGAAGTAAGAGAGCATAAAGTTCAAACAGACAGCTTGCTGTTTTCACTGTTGGTTGCAGTAGTCGATTCTGGTGATAGCACTCTGTGCTGTGTTATTTCGATAAACTTTATACTCTGAATATAGTAGAGTTGTTCACCGTTCATTCGCTGTCCAGTTAGACTAAGCTTACACCATGCTGAGGAGTTGCCAGTTGGCACGAAACAGCTGTATAAGATTGGCCGCCTGTGTTCGGAAGAACGAAAGCTATATTACCGCCATCTTTCTTTTCTATCTATACTTATATTATTATATATATATGAATAAAGACAACTGAATTAGATTCAGATTTATTTATTAATCCAGTTGGATCTACATTGTAGACATTGGATAAGTCGGTGTATACAGATTAAAATACAGATAAAATAAAGTGCAATACAAATAACAATAGGAACATAAAAAAACAATATGATTGATACATACATACATGGCAATAAATGATTTATTAAGATCTATCAGAAGCACTCTGGAATGAGACAAATTCACTTAGGACATAGAAACCGCAATCCAATAGCTTGTTCCGCAAACGTCTTTTGAAAAGCCCTATGGAGTTTACGTTTTTGTACTCCGGAGGTAATAAGTTAAAAAAGTATATTCCTGATGTTATGGGACATTTTGAATGAAAAGTAAGATATGACACATGCCTAACTATATTATTTTTATTACGAGTGCTGTAGTCATGGAGGTCAGTATGCTTAAGATAATCATTTCTATGCTGAAAAATATATGTTAACAGTTTATAAAGATATATACATGCTACTGTAAGTATTTTATGTTTAACAGATATCTCACGACAAGAAGATCTGGACCGTATTTTAAATATAATGCGAATGATTCTTTTTTGTAAGACAAACACTTTAGAGATTTCACTAGCCTGGCCCCACGCAGTAGTACCATATGAAATGAAAGAGTGTACACACGCATAGTAAACATTCATTAATGCTGAGGTGTTTAACATCTTCCCTAGCGAAAGTATTAGATACAGACCTTTTCCAAGCTTCTTACATACGGAATCAATTTGATCTGTCCATCTTAAATTGCAATCAAAGCTTACACCTAAAAAAAAAACAGATTTTTTGGAAGTTACGGCTGCCTTGCATAAAAGACTGAAATTAAAATTTGACGGAATTTTTGGTTTCATAAAATATTCAACTGAAACGGTATTTTTTTGTATTTATTATTAGTCTGTTTTTGAAACACCATTGACTGAACTCATTAACCGAATCATTAATTTTTTCTTGAAGACGATCTTGCGATGAGTCAACTAAAATGATATTTGTATCGTCTGCATACAAAAGTAATTTTCCGTAGGATAAGTGTGCAGGCAAATCATTTATGAAAATCAAGAAAATATGTGGTCCAAGGACGCTGTCTTGAGGTGTGCCAAAATCTAAATTGAATTCATCAGATTTTTTATCAGCGACAGTAACATAAACTTTTTTATTCTCTAAAAAGCTAACTAGCCATTGATTCAAACATCCGCGAATGTCGACATGATGAATTTTATCGGCCACAAATGACGAACTTACACAATCAAAGGCCTAACAAGTCAAACTGAATACTCACTACGTATGGACCTAAATCAAGTTTATCACAAACATACTGAACATACTCGATAATGCTTGTTTTAGTTGAGTAGCCTGCCCTAAAACCATGTTGAGCATATGTGATAATAGCAAATTCAAGAAAGTAATTTTCAATTTTTATTGCAACCACTTTTTCAATGATTTTCGAGAAAATACTTAGTAGCGCGATTGGACTACATTTTTCAACATCACAATTTTCACCTTTTTTAAATATCATAACTACCGATGCCAGTTTAAGAGCTGTTGGAAATTTACTAGCAGCAACCGATTCATTAATGATGTCTAATACTGGGGCAAACATATCCATGTTCTGTTTTACTAAATAGATTGGAATTTCTTCCGGCCCTGGAGATTTCTTGTCCGAAATATTACTTATCACAAATATAACGTCATCAGTAGTGACACGGGTGAAAAACGTTGATTGTTTGGCTGTGCAGGAATTCGACAAAACGGTAAAATTACTGGCCATTTTCTTGCCAATTACAGTGGATACATATTTTCCAAAAAAGTTGGCGATGTCAGTAGGGTTGGTTATAGTTACGTTATCGCAGACTGATTCTGTGATAACTGCATTTTTTTGTTTACCTTTTATTGAATTGACAATATTCCAAGTAGTTTTCTGTTTGTTTGAAGATTTGCTTTTTATCGAGTGATAGTAACTAAGCCTTTCATCACAAATATTCTTATCAACCTTTTTTCCAATAGACTTAAATTTTGTTTTCAAATTAGTATCTTGAATCTCTTTACGTAGCCGTGGTAGGTTATTCTAGTCTATTTTTTCTTGAAGTGACTTAGAGAATTTAATTTTCTTATGAGTAGTACTATATCGCTCATTATGAACAATTTTACGTTTAAAGGCTATGTCGCTTCTAGAAAATCATCGAAACAGTCATTTATATTATTACACTTCTGAATGTCACCAAACCCATGCTTCAGTAATAAATAGCGAAATTGCCTCAATGAATTCTAGTTCAAATTTCTAATTACACGTGTAGTTGGCTGATCAGTGGTATGACATATGGTACAAAAAATAAATTCTCCGGTATGATCTGACAAACCAGGGTCAACGTGTCTTTCATTTACTACTTCTGGGCAGTTAGTAATTATGTAGTCGATTGAAGATGTGCTGATTCCATATCTGGTAGAGGCAATTCGAGTGTACTCAAGCTCAAACGATCGCATGGTAATCTTTTTGAAATATCATTTCCAGACTAATCTATGTTCGAGTCGCCTGCCAAAATTACATATTTAAAGTTACTTGTCGCAAACGAGACAATAGAGAATAGTTTTTCTAAGAATATGTCAATAGAACTCTTATTGGGTTATGGGGGCCTGTTGATACAGATTATGCAATATATTTTCATAAAAGATACTGCACTGACTTCAATAACCATTTCTAGGGAAAGGCTGTTTAGGTACTGGATTGGAGCAGACAGATGTAAGACATTTCCTATGGAAAATATTGCCGTGCCTCCATGTATACGATTAGTGCGTGCAAAACAACTCATCATCTGTATATACTCTCTATGAGACACCAACCCTTTCAAAGTATATGTACACTCTGCGAAAGGTAGTCAAATCGCCAAGCTGGAGATACTACAGACCAAAATATGTGAATTGACCTAAACATACCTCAGTCGAAAAGTTGATAGTTTGCGAGATACAGGGTGTCGGGGTCACAATTTCATTTTCTATTTGCCCTTAGTGCTTGAGGAGTATTTCAGATTTTGGCATAAAATTCGGCATAGGGAGGTTTTCTAGTATCAGAAACAAGAATCCGTCATTTTTTATGGCCAAACTTCTAGAGGGCGCGACTTACAGCACTATTTCGGTAAATAACTCATCGTAACTTTTTGTGCTACCCTGTATACAACAACTAACCGAAAAGTCTTATTTTTTCGTATTTACACAACAAAAAAGGTTTACATGTTGGAAGTGTCTAAAGTTTTCGAGATACTTGTTGTTAAAAGTTCCAATGCATTCTTTGTATCATGATAAAACATCTTTATAACATAACAATCAAGTTACTTTGGATAACATCTGAGTAACGTTGCTATGATTTTTAACAAAAACAAATGAAGATGGCAACAAAACTAATAAACGGAAATAATAGCTACAAAAAAAATGTTCAAATTGTTCAATTGCCTAACACACTCTAGAGCTTGACGAACTAATCCTTGCTGCACTCTCCAAAGCATTCGGATGTTATTTTTCATTTTCTGCCTATGGTGGAAAATTCTTTGTCGAAGATCATCTACAGTTTCCACTGGCGTATTGTAAACGAGTCGTTTTAAATCAACTCAGAAGAAGAATTCTATACGATTTAAATCTGGTGATCTAGCCGACCACGATACAGGTCCTGATCAGCCTATCCAGTGGTCTGGATAAACTCTATTTAGGTGCTCTCTAACTAATATACTAAAATGAGGTGGAGCCCCGTCGTGTATAAACAACATATTCATGCGTTTTTGGAATGGAAGATCTTCCAGCAGAGTGGGTAATTGTTCTTCAAGAAATTGTAAATACCTTTGGTCATTTAGTCTAGGTGGTAACTCAACGGTTCCAATAAATATTGTCAAATTATTCTTGCCGATAAATTAATTTAAAATTGTACTTGGTGGCGGGCTTGTATTATTCCATGAGGATTTTCGTCTGCATAAATCTGAAGATTATGCGAGTTAATGAGTCCATCCCTTCCAAATCCTGC